GCCCGGCCCCAAACCAGCCTCGTCCGCCCCCGAAGGCAGCAGCTCACACCCAGCTGCAGGGCCCAGGGGACCTGTCCCTCCACTCCGCAGACGCTGGGCTGGAGACTCCTCAGGAGTTCCCTGATGATCCAAAGAGCGCTCTCCTCTGCGGAGGAAAAGGTTAATGGAACCCTGCGAGAGAGGCGCGGAGACAGCGGTCGCTCTGACCCGGGAGCAGGGCTGAGCTTCCCCAGAAAGAAGCCTGGGCAGCAGAGGCCGCGGCCCGCCCCGGAAAGAGGCCCGGACCCAGTGCCAGCATGCTCAGAGGGCCCTTCCAGCAGCCGAGCCTTGCCCAGCGCCGCCCGGGGCCCAGCCAAGTAGCTGTCTTTTTAAATTTTAATTCTTATTTTTGCAGTGCTCGGGGTGGACGCAGGGTCCGGTGCGTGCCGGGCCAGTGCTCGGTCCTGTTTGGTTAGTGTGTTTTTAACTCTGCATCCTCTCGAAATCCTCCCTTCTGACCAGCGGTTTTCGTTTTTATTCAGCAAGACCCACCCTCGATGCACACGGAGATCACACTCTGTGCACCCTGGGTTCCTTCATGGGGTCTTGGTCACTGCCGACAGAGATACGCTGGGCATGCAGGGGTCCTGGCCAGAGCCCGCAGGCTGGGTGACGTCTGACCTTAAGAGAGGGTGGCCTTCGAATACAAACGAGAGAACACTAAGTGTTTTTGTGAAGTAAACCCCCTGGCAGGCAAAATCACCCTGACTGAGAACGAGTGGACAGTGGAATCTAAGTTCATCTGAGCAGCGGTCAGCTGTTAATTAGCTGAGGACAACCATCAGCCCGGCTTCTGACACGGGCCCCACGTGAGCAGGACATGGCTGAGACTTGAAGCTCCCGGCCGCTTCACAAAGGAGAAGGATGGCAATGACACCTTATTATTATTATTATTATTATTATTATTATTATTATTATTATTATTATTATTTTGGTACCAGGGATTGAACTCAGGGGCCCTCGATCACTGAGCCACGTCCCCAGCCCTATGTTGTATTTTATTCAGAGACAGGGTCTCGCTGGGTTGCTTAGTGCCTCGCTTTTGGTGAGGCTGGCTTTGAACTCGCGATCCTCCTGCCTCAGCCTCCAGAGCCGCTGGGATGACAGGTGTGCGCCACCGCGCCGGGCCTGACACCTTAATTGATTCTAAGGACAACGAGCATCAGTTTTAGAGGAACCCAGACATAACATGCAGGAATTTCAGAACAGTCTGACTGCGCCTCTGGGCAAGGTGAGCTGTTCAGCTTCAATCTCCCCTCCCGGGCTCAGGCCTTACCTCCCGGGCTCAGGCCTCCCCTAGTGAAACTGCTGAACAAACCTGCTCCACCCCATCCATTCTCCATTATAAACACGCTTTTCTTTTTTCCATTCACATGTCACTAAATTGAAATCAGGGACACAGTCTTTTGTATATTTCCTGTCTGACTCCTCCAAAAAGAATGGATCCTCTGCCCAGCACGGCGGTACACGCCCGTAATCCCAGGGACTCGAGAGGCGGAGGCAGGAGGATCGCAAGCTGGAGGCCAGCCTCAGCCACTGAGCAAGACACTGTCTCAAGATAAAAAATAAATAAATAAATTAAAAGAGCTGGGATAAAGCATCCCCGGGTTCAGTCCCCCAGTACCAAAAGGGGGAAAAAATGGATTCCTCGCTGGCAGGGTTTTTCTGTCTCCGTTACCGCACTGTCTTTAGGATCTGGCGCGAGGCCGGGCCTCTGCATGGCCCATTAGCGGTTTATTGAATAAGCTGGGAGATGAATAGATCTACATGGATGTAATTTTTAAAGCATTCATTTCCGCTCACATTCAGGACTCTCGGCCTTATCCACCGGCCTCTCCGCCGGGCATCGTCTTTAAACAACGGAGATGCTTCTTCCTTCCCCTCTGCTCTGAGTCCGTGGGTCAAAGAAACTCAAGTACCTGGTTGGTTTTGAAAAGGGAGCAGTCAGGGGACTTCCTCCCGCTGCCCTGGATCCTGGGGGCCGGAGAGGGAGCTGGAGGCAGATGCAGGTCTGCCCCCCTGGACGGAGTCGGCCTCACCAACACCCAGGTGGACACGCCCCGGCTCCACTGTAGAGCGCCTCCACGCCCACCCCCAGGTGCTGGGGGCCGAGCTGAGGCCAGTTCACAGAGAGGCTGGTGGGTGGGGGTGGGGGCGAGAAGCTGAAGTTAAATGACAAGAGTGAGCCAGAACCGATCGGCCTCCTGAGGATCAATAAGAAAGAGAATCAAATAAGCCTTCAAACTTATCAGGACAGGGAGAGGTGGCACCGTGCGGTGTGCGTGTGTGTGTGTGTGTGTGTGTGTGTGTGTGCACGGGCTTAAAATAAAACTCCTATTGGGGCCAATGCCCACGCCATTCGACACACAAGCCCGATGACAACCTGTGTGTCATGCAAAAAAAAAAAAAAACCCATAAAAATAAAAACGACTACCAGTACTGCCTCTCCACCTATCTGCCTGTCCATCCGTCCGTCCATCTGCCCACAATCACCTCACCCCGTCTTCTCTTCTGTGTGTGGAACATTCTATCATGAACCTTGGGTGGAAACCTCCTACCTGTCCCCCTACCTGTGCCCCTTTCCATCAGTCCAGGCAACTTCATTTTCTAGCAAAAGAGAAGAAAGATGGAGCAGAGAGATTCTGAGGTCGAAAGACCCTGCGTCGGACACCCATCCACGCCTGATCTTCCTGTGGGACCCTGGACAAGTCGCCTAACCTCTCTGAGCCCGAGGCCCATCTCTTAGAAATGACGTATCCTAGGAACACTTGGATGTAACTGGGGCACGTGAGGGTGCCGTGGGAGAAGCCGGTTCCTGGCACATGAAGAAGCCTAGCGGGGCTGGAGAGCAGGATCAGGAAACCAAGCCACAGCCTGAACTCAGATTCCTTCCGGACTCTCGCTGCTGGTGTTATTTCTCCATTTCTGGGTCACCCGGTTCCGGTGGACCACTGTGGCCAGGACGTCCTCGGTGCGCGCAGCTCCGAGCTGGCACTGGGGAGGTAGCCCTTCCTGGGCGTCCTCATTCTGCTAACGTGGCTGCCGAGTCCCGCTGATCCGACGGTGGCAAAGCTCGGTGATGCGGATGCCGAGAGCGTCAGAGGAGCCGTCTGCAGCCACCAACCCATCGACCCCCACTCAGCACAGCCGTGTGGGGACAGAGGGACCGAGCCACGCTCAGCGCCTATGCAGCCAGCAGGCGGGGAGAGCAGCCCACGCGGGAGGCGAGGACACGCGCTCTGTGACATCCAACGGGAAGGGCCACTGCGACCCTGGGCTTCAGGATGGAGCGGGCGACCTGAGAGCCAAGGACTCGGGGTTGGGGCCGGGGCGGGGGTGGGAGCTGCCCTGGGGCTCCTGGGCCACGTGGCTCGGCCACATCGCCCTCTGGCCGGCGGCATGTGGGGACCATCTGGGACGCTGCTCTCTGCCAGCGAACCCTGCCCTGCCCTCGTGTCTGACCCGCCTGCAGGCAGCTCAACAGGCCCCTTGTTCGCCCCACGATGGCTGAGGCCCAGCACAAGGCCAAGCTGGCCCCGGTCTCCTGCCAACAGTTAAAAAAAAACTTTGAACTTTGGTTGGGTTCCAGTGTGTCTTCAGCACCGGAAAATCAGGACGCGGGGCCAGACCACCGTCGCCTAGGGCTCCCCAAAGAGAACCAGGCGCCCCGGGCAGAGTCCTGTCGGGGACCCAGTGGGACGGCACGCGGATGGGAGAGCGCGTCCTGCCTCACCCCTGGCCGCTGACCGAGGATCGGGTCCCTTGGGACTTTAAGAGCGGCCACTGTGCGTGGGGAGCTGTCACCCCCACAAAGCGCTGGCCGAAGCCAAGGGTACCGATGGCCCTTTCCCGAGGAGGCTCTGAGGCTGGCCGGCTGGTGTCCAGCCTGGAGGTTGCGGGAGGGTCAAGCTCAGAACCCTCCACGGGGCAGCTCCAGCCCGGGCAGCGGGACTTGGCGCCCAGGGTCCTGCTCACGGCCCAGGCCTGCCCCTGGGTGCAGTTCAAACATGAGTCCACCCAACCAACTGCCCGAGACAGTGTCGTCCACCGACACACAGGAGGTGGGACTGGACACCGGGGGTTCCGAGCAGCGTCCCCTCCACACACGACCCAGGGAGGCCCAAACGTCTTCAGACGTTTCCAAGTAGCCTCGGGCCCAAACCGCTGGCTCTGGACAGTCAGCCTCTTAAAGTGAGTCCAGTTAAGGAAGAAATGCCCTCTAGCCGGCCTCCCCCAACACAGGAAGTCCCCATGGCAACATGGCTTGGGGGGTCACACAGACACCCCGTGCGTCCCCCCGACTCTGCACACACCATTTCCCGCGATCGTCACCGCACTCCTGCAAGGTGGACACCAGCCCTGTGGCTGTCTCCCAGCTGAGAGATTCGGTGGCCTGCCAGCCTCCCAGCCTCCC